GCTGGCAGTAGCCAAGCCTTTCTAGTACAGGAGAACTACTAAAAACAGGTTCAGGAGGCAGAGAGGGAAAAAAAGAAGGAAATTGTGACCTCTTGGAAGTGATGAGAAGCTTCCAGGGAATTTTGGATACAGAATGTGATCTGATTTTGCTAAACTTCCGGTTCAGTCTAGACATTATTTATGATGGTAACATCCTTATTTTGCTATTAAATAGGTGATAGAGTTTTTACCAGAGATCACTGCTCAGTTTAGCTGGGTGATCTGCTTCCCCCTTATATTAGTTGTGTGGGAAACACATCTTACAGATCTGCCAAAGATGTAAAGAGTAAAGTGGCTAAAAGCTGGAAGTGAGGTGAATTCTGAACAGAAGCAAACAAATATTTTAAATGAAGGCAGTTAATTAACTATGGGAACAATTTACAAAGGCCAGCAGATTCTCTGTTAGTTCAGGAGTGGATCTTAGGAGGGAAAAAATCTGAAGAAACTTTTTACTCCCAAGAGGAATTAATTCAGGGATGCTGAAGGTCAGAACAGATGATCCCAGTGGTCCCACCTGGCCTGGCCTGAGGATATCTTTAAAGTATTTCTCCACAGCAGTCTGAAATCGCATCCTCCTGTTACCTGTTGCAAGTCAGTATAAAGAAATAAAAACTAGGGGAGAAAGCCAGGATACTTTAGCTGAGATGGACTTTTTTTTTTGTAAATTGGGCTAGGGCTACTGAACAAGTGATTAGCTCCTTTTAGCAGTTCTGTATGTCGAAGTGGACATCCTGTTTTTCTGGTTTTTAATCCTAATTAAAATCCAGCTCCAAATACTGGGATAAAATGGAGATGTCTCTGGGAGTTTTTTCCTGTCTTGTGAGTAAAACATAGATGAACAGTAAAACCAAACCCAGAGGAATGATGTTCAGAAAACAGCCTGCTAAAAATATGGGAGACAAACATCATATTATGAAAGTAGACTATTAGCCCTATCAGAGTTTTCTTCACCATGTTAGAGATAAATTAGATTCATATTATGTAGAGAGACACGGCTTTTATTTCAAAGTCAGTGTCACTGCTTAATCAAAGGAGATGATATTGCCTGTTCCTGGTTGTATTTATGGCTAATACTCTGTCATGACTACAAGGAAATTAAAAAAAAAAAATCTACGTCAAACTGCCTGTTTAAGATGAGATAAATAGGATGCATATTAAAGCTGCAGTCTCTTAATAGAATACAAAATTAAATGAGGGATATGTTTTCCTCTGAAACTTCACAATGGATATGTATTTTGATGGTGTATCTCACAGTGTCTTCTGGTGTGCTGAAACATATTAAAACCAAAATATTTTGATGCTAAAGCAGCCTATCCTGTAAGAATACAGATGCTTTCCCAAAGTGATGTATGAATAGCCATGAACCAAGTTTTTCTGAACATGGTACCTCTGATTATATGAATACTCTCTTCAGATCCCTTTTGATTGCATCACTCTCTGGAAACCTCAGAAGCGGGAAAGTACAAGGCTAAGTTTCACAGAAAGGACTGAAGTATCCACCTCCGGAGTTTGTCAAATGAGGATGAATTTTTCTCCACTGGGCTCTTGATGGGAGCTCAGGTCCTCTGCATAGGCTAGTGAGGAGGGAAGAACTGACAGTGCTCTTTGTGTCATGTTGTCCTTGCTCAGTGTTTCATCTGGTCGAACGCTGGAAGTTTTTATATCTCAGAGTAACCACAGAGAGCTGCAGGCAGGATTGCGAGGCTGACGCACTCCTGCGGCACAGATCCAGTTGTAGAGGAAGACAAAGGTCCCGTGGTTTTCTTGGGAATAATCAGATGGCGTCTGTTGTGGCAGATGCTCTGAGCATCAATGTTAAACAAGGCATAATTTAATAGGATTTTTAATGTAACTAATGCGCTTGTTTCAGTTTACAGACTTGAATCAAATCACTTGGGGTAGTAGAAGAAGACGCTACTTTTTTGGCTAAGAGTTTTCAGGGCATTTTGTTTAATTTATGCAGCTGGCACATCCACAGCTGATAACTCAAGCAGATGTCATGTGGAGAATTGCAAGGCTTCTGACTAAAAAAACCCCACAATTTATTTCACTTCAACATCTTAATTAGTTTTACAAAAATAAAAAGGAAAGATTAGGAAATGTGGGTTTGTGAGAGCATTCTCATGGTGTGAACAGTAAAATATGAGGGATCTGATTAAATCTGAGTTGCAGTGAAACTTGTGCCCAGTGTACAGGCTACTGGAAGACAGCAAATGAAAATGGGTAATGTAGATAGGTGTGTACCAGTACGTGGCCTCGGCCTGAGCAATGGAGCCCTCTTGTCTGTCCTGTGAAGCTGTTACTGTCGCTGGCACGGACAGCTTTAGCCAAGACTAACTTTCAGCCTTGCAGGCAGTTTGTGGCCATGATTTAGATGTTACAGCATGCCAAGGATCATTCCCGATGTACAGTTTGCATGCAGCCGCTTTGAGAGGGTGCAGGTTTAATAAACTTGGCCAGATGATGCCATTTGACCTCAGGGCCAGAGGGCTGGCCCAGGCACTCTGAGTTTACTGGTTGCTCTGACCAGTGCAGCTGGTCAATGCTGTAGGAGGGAATTCGTCTTGGTGTTAGCTGTACTCCACTATAAGGAAATGACCTCTCGCACGCATCATTTTAAATATCTCTCTTCTGTTTGAACAAATATGTAATATTCATGTTAATAAAATCTCAGTCTCTGTCTCTTTTGGGCCTCTCTTGCAGCTTTTTTTTGGTCAAAGACAGAGGAAAATGTTTTTGTCTTTCAATCCTACATTGACAACAGAATTTGTCTTTGGAATTTTTAAGGAGATAGTAAAAGGGATGTTGTCTTCGGTAGCAGCAGTGATGATGATGCAGTAATTTTGCTGTGGTTGATAATACATTACTTGCACACAATTGTAGGAGCTGCCTTCTGCATGAAAGAGTGATCATTCCGCATATGCCTAAAAAAATCCCCGCCAATATATGTAAGAAAAGGAAAAAGAGTAAGACTCTGAGACACAAACTTACTATGCAGCCCATTTCTTAAGAAAGACAGTTATCATTAAAAGACAATCATAATTGTCTTTGCAGTTTCTTGGGATGGCTACCCTCTTATTTCAAGGAAACAATGATTCCATCACCATTACTTCTAAAAGTTATGTATTTTTTTCGTGTGTTCAGGTAGATAGAATGGATAGTGTGATGAGAACAACTAGCACATGCACTTTAAAAATTGTCTGATTTCCAGATAGTATCTAGGTCATATGATACCCACAGGCATGATTCATCTACCTGGGCTTTATGCCAGTCAGCAACTGAGTGGATCTGAACTCCAGGAATACCATAAAATCATTAACGCTGGATTTTTTTTCTTCAAATAATGCTGTTGATTATAACTGTAAGAAATACAGCATATAATTTATAGTTCCTTTCTGAAAGAATTCACTTCATTAAGTAGATGCAAGAAATACAGTATGGACTGAAGAGGATGCAGAGCGGAACTAACTGAATGAGCTTTGCCCTACAGACTTTCATTTCAGAGGTTACTGTCTTGATATGAAGCCCTGTTTGAGGCAGAAGTAGTCTTCACCTGAGTGTATCTGCTTGAAGCCCAGCTAGCTGTTAAGGGTTGATCTTAGCTACAATGAACTAAAAGCTGCCAGTGTTCTGCCTCTGTTAGCCTTTTGTATAAAGATGATAGTCTCTTTGAGAGGTTTAGTACAAACCCCATGCTTTTTTTTTTTTGCAATGAAGTTAATTTTCAAGAGATGAGATCATGCTTATTTTTAAGCATGTGTATTATGCAGGCAGACACTCTTAATTAAAGATTCAACACGCTTTGTTCAGGGAACCATCAAGCTGCATTTTTAAGATGTGTAGGTGTATAGGAAAGCAAAAATGTGTGTAGCTGGGGTGGTTTTTTTTGTTTTTTCAGACGTACCAGCATGTTTATCTCAATAAACACTTGTAGGAGTAGATTCTTCTGGGGCTTGCCAGGTTGCTTACCTGGCATTTCTAGGTGCCTATATACTTTAAAAATATAGGCCCTAATGGCTTTGAAAATGAGCTACCTCTTCTAACTCCTACTTCTGAAGAGCAGATAATTTAAAAAAAAATCATCTTTAGAGAGTAAAGGCTGAAATTCCCACAGTTAAATTAAAGAGACAGCGTTCTAGAAATGAGGTAAGGAAGTCTAACCTTTGCTAACTTGTAAAGAAACAACAGTGTTTAACTTTTATGAACTGAAAAAAATATTTTCTCCTTTGTCTTCCTGAGTTTGCGACTTCCCGTATGTTCTTAGCTTTGTAAGTATGTCTGGGTTATGATGGACTTGCTCTGAGTATTGTTTTTTTTTTTTCCTTTCTTTCACGTAGATAAAGAAGAGGCAACAAGATGTGGTGAGGTTTCTGGAAGCCAATCGCATAGAGTTTGAAGAAGTGGATATCACAATGTCAGAGGAGAAAAGACAATGGATGTATAAAAATATTCCTGAGGATAGGCAGCCTGCGCAAGGCAATCCACTGCCACCACAGATATTCAGTGATGATCGATACTGTGGAGTAAGTAGCTGTTATGGTTGTCAACGGGTGGTGTATTAGTATACCCTGTTGGCAGTTTAAAAAACTGGGAGTTGCTGTTGGACTTTCTCTAGTAATGTCTGAATTAATGGTAGCAGTTTGGGGCGATAGGAGTAGGTAATGATCATACAGTGAAAATTCATATCATTCCTCTGTAAATCTTAAGGTTGTCTTCAGCAGGTGGATTCCTCTCCATGATTGTAAGAATTCGTAATGTCACATGCTTCATGTTAAACCTGTTGATAGTGAAGTCCCTTGTGAGACCACTATAAGCTGGGGATTTATAGTTTTCTTGCTACTTGGGTCTAGTCCAAGCATAAAAATTCAGAAGGAAATCTTTGGCACAGTAAATGAGAACATTGGCTATATTGAGTTATATTGTCATTTTAATTAAGCTCCTTCTATGCTGCTGTCATAGCGTAAATTTCATTTATGCTTAGAGAGCCTTTATGCAATCAGAGTCTCTAGGATAAATGAAAACTATTTGCACTGTAGAACAGTTTTATTTTTCCCTAAAGTGAAACAACTTGTGGCTTCCTCTGCTGAAAGACCGCTAAGCATGAGAGCCTGTGAATCTGACAACAGATCGATGGGTGGGCTGGTTTCTTTGATAGTGTAAGCTGCAGTAACTTCTCCACCGCTAGTGCAAGCTGAAGGGGTAGCCTTTGACCAGTATGTTGAGAATGGCACCATATGAATGTTTTACTCTCCTGCTTGGTCACCATGGCACGCTGCAGCCCTGAGTCTTGGGCACTGTTGTAGTCTGGGAGAATCTTCCCAGAACTTGGACTCATCTTTGAACAAAATGTTGTAAAGACCATAGCTGGGCCCTCTTCGCTTTGCTGCATCTTTTCATACTTTAACCATGTGACTTGTACATCGTTTAGGAGGCAGGTTTGAGGACTGGCTGGTGGGAGAAAGGGAGGTTTGATATGCCAGCCTGACTGCATCAGGAAGTTATCGGATAAGGTTTGTCTGTGAATGAAATGGGGGAATGAAATGGGTCTTTATGGTTCTAATGGATATTGTGTGGGTTTTTGGCTACAGTGCGGTGAAGATACATCCAAGGTTGTTCTAACTTAGTCCCTGCCAGACTCAACAGTGCTGTAACAAAGCTGCTTCAGGCTGATGAATTGTTCAGATCTGCTGAGAACCTGTCAACTGCAGTGCAATTGTTAGCTTAATGTAGGAAGTGCAGAAGAAGTGATTTAGGATCCTCTGCAACAAACAGATTGAGTATGATGCAGCAGCTAACTGGCTCCTTGAAGTGACATATTTAACATCCCTCCCACATGCTTTTTATTGGCCTTACTTGTTTACCTCAGCAGTATAGCTCCTATCTTCCTACTTCCAGGTAAGAAACTTCAGTTAAAGAAACATATCTGAGACATGGAAGAGATTTTGACCCTCACTTGTGGAGCAGGCCCTCACTTACAAATAGCAACATTTACATTGTTCCATGTGATTTTAGTTTCCCTGGGAAACACAATGTTTTAAGCTGTTGTTTCTTACCCTTTCAGCTTGTCTTTATAGCGTGTTTTAACCTAGTCTTAGAAATTGCGGTTTGGAATTAGCAAGGAAGAAGATGTCATGCAACATGTGAGATGAGCTCATTAATCTGTCTGCTCAGCTGATAGCTGTTTTGGTTGAGCAGAGTTAATCTTATTACTAGACCTCACTGTCTGCATGAACATCTTTAAAGAGGAAACATGCTTTGAAAGAAACTGTATTTTCTGGGATGAAGGAAGAAGTGTGTGAAGGATCTCTAGCATTCATTGATAACAGAGCGGAGGCAAAACATTAGGCAGGAGGCAAAGGAGGTCAGTGCTGGAAAGGGAGTTAAAATATCACAATTAGATGAAGTCAGCAGACGTTGCACATCTTGTCTCTTTTAGCTTATGTACCTTGATTTGTGTCCAGGCAATTTCTAATCCAATTTGCTTTATTAACAAACACTGTCTGTTTTTCTGCCTGCCAGTTCTACAGCCTCACCAGGAAACTGCCTGTGTACTTACTCTGACTTATACATTGTTACTGACAATACAGACTTAATTATGATACAAACTGGTAAGATCCCTTGCTGTTCTTCTAAATGTATGAGGGCTAGACAAGGCAAAGCAAAATACGTACGCTTTTTATTTTATTTGTGTTTCTTCAATGGAGGTTCACAAGCATATGGTGTATGAGCCATGACTCAATGTCATGTTCATAGCCATACTGTTTTTTTCTGTGTTAGTAAAAGCATTAATAGGTATTTTTTTTCCTCATTTTCTCTTAAGTAGAAAACCTCAGCAATGCACACAAGGATCTCAGAGTAGATTTTCTGGCTAGGACATTACCGTTTGAAATAGTTACATTTTCAGAATGTAACTGCAGTGTAGACGAAGTTTGTCTTCAGTGTTTTCAGTAAGTATCCCTAATGGGTTGGTGTCAGCCATTCGAACATGTGAGAGCTGATGTAAAAGGGGAGAAGGGTACAAAAAGATGACCAGTTCTTAGTGGTTCACAAAACATCTTGTACCACAGGGGGAGGGATCCTTCCGGTGCCAACAGGCAAATTCCATGTTTTGAATTGTGAGCAAGACCTTGAAATTTTTCTGAGTTGATGTAATCACAAATATGATCATTAATCTATCTTGTCCTTTTCTCGGTCTTCTGAGATCACTTCCCAATTTTTCAGTAACGAATTCTGCTAATGGATTTTGAAATAAAGTACTCAGCAAGAACCATTTTTATTTCCTGCGAACAAGATAAGAGCTGTGAGCACACAATAACACAAATTATTTTACTGATAATCCAGTGTTATGTCATAGCACCGATGCTATGATAATTTACATGTTTTTATGACTTTACAATCTGTTGTTTCATCTTAGTGACTTTGCTATAACATAGTAATGTGTGAGAAGAGAGACTACATTTCAGACAAATCAAACACATCGACCTGCTGTTCTAATTTACAGTAGTGGAAATCTGAAATTACTACCATTACCTTGCTCTAGTTAGTGCTATGTAAGTGTAAGGAAATGTTAGCGCCTAGCGCACGTTCCAAGGGAGAACTTGTGCACTTTGCATTAAGAATAAGGTGGAGATAATTTGGAAGAGATAAAAAAAAAAAGAGCAAGTAGAGCCTTAATAGGAGCTGGTGTGTTGGGTTGGGTTGTTGGGCATTGAAACCAGTTGCGCCTTGCCCAGTTCCTTAAAAGATTCACCCTCAGTTAGTTTTAGTGTCTCTTGCTGTAGTGGTTTGACGTACAGCTATGACATGCAACTCAAATCATGCAATATTTTCCTCCAAGGTTAAATCTCCTTGAGGTACACATAAAGTTTCCCCATCCTCCTCTGTTAGCCACCAAGTGCACCCTGGCCCTTGAGCAAAAGGAACTTCATGAACGGGTTTGCCTTTTCCTGAAGGAGGATCAACCCACGCTGTCTTTCCAGCCACTGTTCTCCACAGCAGAGATGCTTTATTCACTTGGCCTGTTTAATCATGGCGCATGTTTCGCATTTGTGGATGACCTGTTCAGTGACTTCAATGGTCAGATCCACCCCTCGATCACAAGCCCATCTATACATTGCATCTCTTCCTGATGTGTCATGGGCCCTCTGAGCTATGCGTAGCTCGCCTTTATGTTCCAAGTCCAGGTTTATCTTAGCTATTTCAGTTCTGGCAGCCTGGTCTACCTGCTCCTTGCTTCCATGTTCTTTGGTGGCACGGCTCTTGGGCATATGAGTATCTACGTAACATACTTTTACAATGAGGTTCTCTACCCAGCAGCAATGTCTTGCCACAATGCAGTAGCCTAGATGGGCTTATCTCTGTGCTGCCAGTTAATCAGCTTCTGTTGCTGTAGCCATCCCCACAGGGCATTTGCTGCCATCCATGAGTCAGCGTAGAGATAGAGTACTGGCCACTTTTCTCCTTCGGAAATGTCTAGAGGCAGGTGGATGGCTTTCATTTCTGCAAACTGACTTGATTCGCCTTTGCCTGTGACAGTTTCTGTGACTTGTCTTGTGGGACTCAATATGACAGGACCCATCAGTAAACAGAGCATATTGTTTTTCATTTGCTGGTAATTTATTATACAGGGGCCTCTTTGGCATGAGTCACTTCCTTGGGCAATGCTTCAAAATGTCTGCCTTCTGGCCAGTCCGTGATCTCTGCTTCCTGCTCTCCCTTAGGAGGAGTGTCTATCTCCTTCACTAAGTGCCTCGACCTTTGCTTTCGTTGTTTCTTCTTGGCTGCAGGAACAACTGTTGTAGTTGAGGGTTGGATTTCCAATTTAGCCACGGTATCTGTTTGTATCTCCTCAGATCCAAAGACCCTTACAGTGTCAGTTTGTATGTCCTCAGATCCAGAGACCCTCTTGTTCCTTTGAGCATAGGCATAGGTCTACTCCAGGCCCCAGTGCAGTGCTGGGAGTTGTGTCTTTGTGGAAGGCATCTTTCCTTCAAATGGTCTGTCAATTCAACAGGATTCCACATCTGTTCAGGAATGAAGTCCCAAACCACAGGAGGTGAAAACTGCCCTAGGCACCTGCCCCAATTCCCCCATACACCTTGCCACCTGGGTATTGGTTGCCTCAGGGCACATTCCTATGTGGCATTCCCAACTGGCTGGTTAACCTTATGAAAAGCCAAAATCAATGTCACCGCACACACTTGTACAACCTTCTGGTTACATTGGGATGTTCAAGAAACTGAAGGGCCATTGCAACAGGCGTGGAAACCTCTGTCCTGGAGAAGAGGAAGATGCCATTCTTCATTTCCTCCACAAAGTGGCTCGTGGAGAATAGGAGAAAGGTGTAATTGCTAATTGTATCCATGAGATGGTTCCCAGAGTACTGGGATGGCAACAATGCAGAGGCTGAATACCAGATTAGGATCAAGGCCGTTGCTTTTATCATGGCTCTCCCAGGCAATGCAAAGGAAAGTGATAAAGCAGCAAACAGCAAAAGCTGAAAACAGCCAGTAACAACGTGTCG